TACCTTTCTCAGTGTGACAGCTTACATGTTCCCTCTTCGGTGGTCTGCACAGGAATGGCAGAGGGAGTTTCTTCCTCCCTATCTTTATCCTATTCTCATTGCCCCGCCTCTACTTCCTGTCTGGTTGACCCGCCTATACTTCCTGCCTGGCCAATCAGCGTTTTATTAAAATACATGATTGATAGAATACAGACAATTCTCTCGCACCAATGGAACTCTTGGTTCTTGGGAGACAGGAATGGGTAAGAATTAGATGCTATGCACTGGGCAGGGCTCGGATTGAGGGCAAGTGGGAAGATATAAGACAGGTGACTTGGCTTCCTTCAGTGGCAGCCTGAGAAGTTACAAGCAGTGGGGAGCTATTGAGGACATGGTGTGACATAGTGTGACTTCTCCATGTGACTGGAACTTGTCAGGCCAGGACCCAGAGATCTATGACCTTTGTAACTAATGAAGTCTGTCCCTTACGGCCTTAAAAAGAATGTCCCGATAGTCTCAATGCCAGGACTCTGTTCTCCGGGGCAGACCCTCAGTTTAACATCTATCTGGTCTTTTGCAGCTTGTGGTAGCTTTATCTTGAATGTGTCCCAGTAGCCATATTGTCTTTGCCACCCCTGTCCCATTATCCTAGACCCTAGCCCTTCTTAGAAGTATTTTTCTCTTCTGTATGTTTTTGTTCATATTTTAGAGCAGAGAGCTAAGTATTTAATCTTGCTGTGCTTTCACAGAGCAATTTAAGAGATTCTTACGATGTTGAGGTTAATAAAGGCCTGATAGACAATATGGGGCTTGAGGTGGGGAAAAGGGGATGTATTCAGTAATTAGTGTAAAGGGTCTGGAGAGATGACTCAGCAGTTAAGAGTACTCACCACCCTGCAGAGGACCTGAGTTCAGTTTCCAGCATCCACACCGTGAAGCTGATAATTGTCTGAACTGCAGCTCTAGGGGATCTGACGCCCTCTACTGGTCTCTGGGAGCACCTGCACACATGAGGCATATATGCACGCAAGCATACATTAATTAAAAAATAAAAATAAAGCTTGAAATGGTGTAGAAATAAAGGGGATAGGAGCTGGTTAAATCTAGGAGTCAGAGAGAAGGGAATTGAATGGGCACCGAGATTTTGTGCCTTCGTGTTTGAAAATGGTTTTGGAAGGGCCCACAAATGCCTTTTCTGCAGAAAGCCAAAGCAAAGCTAAGCGTTGTGGCGAGAGCTGTGGAACAGGCCTTTTTTGGTGTCAGTGAGGATTGAACCGAGTGAGTAAATTGTTGTAATATGATGCCCTGCACAGGCTGGAGCCACGGAACAGGATTGGCAGAATTGTGCCTGTGTCGAAAGTGCTGATATTCCAAAGGGTGAAGAAGCCCTTCCGCTCGGTCCCGACTTTCTGTGACTCATTCGCCTCCTTGTGCTGGAAGCCCCAGCAATGAGGCTTACGACACTTTGAGAAAGGAGGGTGTCACGCTGAATTGGAGGGGGCGGGGAGATAATGAAAGTTCAATACTCTGGAATCTTGAAAATTAGAAAGTTTTCCCCAGAGTTTATTTTTGGGGACACTTATGAGCTGACCCATTTTTTGAGTGTTTTCAGAAAGAAATAATAAATAATACTTAAATTGTATCAATTATCCAATGGTCAGTGCTGCTCTAGATACCTTTTTAAACATGTGTAATGTTTCATGTACCCCTCCTAAAATCATATGATGAGGTTCGTCATTATCTGTATTTTACAGGTAGAAGGATTGGGGCTCAACATAACACACTGACTATGCTTTTGCCTTCAGTTGATTAATATAATGTTTTATGAAGATGAGTTGTTTTTTTTTAATTTAGTTTTTCTTTTCGAAATAGGGCATCATCTTTTAGCCCATATTGGCATTGGGTGACTAAGTGCCGCAATTACAGGCATGCACTACTACTCCTGGCATTATGTAGTCGATTTTTAACTCAGGGATACACAGAGGGCATCTTAAGCCAAAAACATCTATGAAAATGTGGGTAATATTTGTTTCAATCTTGCAATGGGAGGGGCAGCTGCTCTTAGTTCTGCAAGCCAAAATGTGTCCACTCAAGAGCACAGTAGACAGATTGCTTTATTTTTTCTTAATTCATTAGTTCAGACTGAAGAATTTCCCCTGGTACCTGGTTATGGGCTCCATCACTGCCACCATTCCCAACGCTGTAGCCACTTTCAGTTCCCTGTGGGCCAGCAATGACACCAACTACTTTATTAAGGTATTTGCGTGGTTGTTACAGTAATTCTGCGAAGCCACCACCATTTTTTCATGTGAGAAGGAAAGGTAACTCCTACGAAGTCACACAGCTGCCAGGTGGGGAAATCCTTGAGTCCATCTCTATCTGCCTCCAGAGTTCGCCTTCCTGCCACACTGGTATTTTGTCCCAACCCCAGACTTTACTTCCATCCTCAAAGTCTTTATATTAGGTGCTCCCATGTAGGTCCAGACAAACTAATCTAAGTTCTAGATGTGTTGTGTTTGGAGACCAGCTTTGGTGCTTTTCTTCTTGGATCTTGAGATGCTGTTAGCTGTCTTCTTTACGTTCACACCAAGCACTAAGAGATTGCAAGGAATCTGCAATCTTTTAAGTGTGACTTGGGGGTGGTGTGTTGATGTTGCCTTGGGCAGATATTCAAATCCCAGAAATATTTTTCTTATGTGTTGGGAGGGGTGACATTAAGGCATCTTGGTAAGAGCAGGGGATTCCTGCAGGAGGGATGGTGAGATAGTAGAAAATCGGCTTTAATAAGCTTCACAGAAATCATTAAAAAAAAGAACAGCCACCTCCCGTCATTGCATTCCAGTGCTTGTAAGAGAGCAAAACTTAGCATCAACAATTAGCATGGCACGCTTCGGACAGACCAAACAGTGCTTGCCTGGAATTAAAGGGCAATTTTCCTCACCGTTTACATGTTTCTGTAAGGTGAGACTCACTCTCATTGTGGGAATTCTTGAAGATGTCCCACTCCTATGTAAGAAAATTATAGACAAGAATATAGGATTACTACTTATGCGTTGTAATAAAAGCTAATAAAATAATAACCAATTAGATGCATATAAAGCCCGAGCATATTAAAGTATTATGCAAATACTGATTAATTGTAATACCATAAACTCGGGGAGCAAGCAAAAGCATGCCTGATTCAAATTATAGGGGCTTTTATTTGCATTTCTACAGAATCTATTATTAGTGGGTCTCAAAGGACCTTACAAGTAATAATTACTAAAGCCCATAAATATAACCCATAAATGTCATTTTATTAAGGGAATACAAAAGAACTCCCTTTTCTCATACACATTATAAGAATGAAAAATGCCCAAGCAAAAGTAGGCGTGTCTGCTTGTGGGGGTTATTTGTACACATGGGCTCCTAGCTGTGCTTTCATGGGCATCCAACCAGGAGGCGCTGGGATCCAGGGTTCTCCTGTTGAACATCTCCACGTACCTGGCTCAGATTCCTCATTTATTTCTGGCATTTTACATGCATAATAGCTCTGTGCAAATCTTGCCAGTAAGTTATATTTTAATATTTCTCTGTCAACTAAAATATCAGATTTGAAAAAAACAAAAGCTAAGCCAAGCCTCTCATGAAGTATTTTAAAATATTTTGGAAAGTTATTTCTGGTTTATTTTCCCTCAATCTCTTATCCTACCTGTTCATGTTGTAACTGCTTGTCCGAATAGATGGAGAAGCTGATACTGATACTTGGAAGCAAGCGTCCGAAAGGCCAAGATGATTTCTAATCTGATTCAGATACTCTTTTGCCCTTTCTTCTTCTGTACTCTCCCATGCTATGCAAGGGCCAGGAAGGCAACTGGGTCTTTCCCCCGCCAACTCCAGGTCCTACATGATTGACAGCAAAATTCACCCCTGGTAGCAAGAGGCCAAAATATCATTGCTGGTCAGTGTGGTGACGTAGGTGAAGGTGTTGTACCTTCAGTGTCTCCTGATCCCAAAGAACAATGCGGATCCAAGTGTACACCCCTCCAGGGTCAGGGACAGTAGGCCTGGAGAGCTGAGGGAGTTGACTGAGGTTAGATGGTGACACCTGTCTCACAGTTAGAATGAGGTCTACAGTCCAGGTCTCTAGACTTTTAAGTCGGTTACTCTCTCTCCCTCATGGCACTCTCCCTCATGGCAATAAAGTATGACACTTTATATCACAAAAGTCTCCTAAACTAGGAGCCTAGAAACACAAGTCTCTCTCTCTCTCTCTTCTCTCCCTCCATTCCTCCCCCTTTGTGTGTGTGTTGTGTGTTGTGTGTTGTGTGTTAACATACAGTATGTATGTGGAGGCCAGAGGTTGACGCCAAGTGACTTTCTCAGTCGCTCTCCACTTCTGTTTTTTGAGACAGGTCTCTCACTGAACCCGAATCTAACTAATTTAACTAGTCTTCTGGCCCGCAAACCCCTGGGTCCCCCATCTCCATCTCCCCAGCGCTAGGATTTTTTACATGGATGTTGGGGTCTAAACTCAGGTCTTAGCGCTTGAGTAACCAGCACTTTACCAGCTGAGCCATCTTCCCACCTCAGTATTGCGTTTTGATCCAGGACTGTGGAGGCAAAAGACTCGAGGCTCAACTTTCAGGTGCTGAAGAAAAACGAGTAATGTGGATACAGAGTCTGGAAGGGTGGACACGGGGATTGCAGTCACGTAGGAGAATCAATACCAAGCTGGTGCGGATAGGAGGCAAGGCAGACTACTGCTATAGTCATAGCAGTGGGTAAAGTGGACACGGAAGAGATTCCTCTTACTACTGAATGGTCTCGGGGACCCTGAGCTCTTCAGGGTGATGCTAGGTGAGAGAGGGGTTGAAGCAGGTGCAGCAGGTAGCGACATTCCCAGGGAGCAGGCTGCTGACCCAGCCCGATTCACAGGGGTGTCTGGGAGATGTTGAGTGGCGGTGTGTGTTTAAAGTAGTTTGATGTCTGTCCTGTGAGGCACGCTACACTTGACAATTCTGATTTTTGTGTCTTTTCAGGAAAAACTGAGGCTTCTATCAAAAACTTCAGCCCCTACTATAGCCGCCAGTATTCTGTGGCTTTCTGCAGTCATGTGCGCAGTGAGGTGGAACAGCAACGGGATCCAACGTCGCAGTTCCTGAAGACCAAGGTAACCTGTGGACACCTGATTCACATCTTCCCCTCTCTGGAGAAATGAGTATAGGTGCTAATATTTCAACTGTGTGAATTACAGCTTTAAAAACTACACTAGTCATTTTATGCTAAAAAATACCGCCTTGATGTGAGAATATATATGATTTCTTTTTTATTGTATGATCTATATGAAAAAAAAGCTAGACAGGGTCAAATCTCATTATATGTTTTTTTCTCATTAATGTTTTGATACCAGGAAATTTAGCTTGCTGTTGTGAAGGTCAGTCTGAAAAAAAAATCGTGATTAGGTTTGTTTTGGTCAATGATCAAACATGATTTCCTCTGAATCGTCTTTGATCTGACATGTGTGTTTCAAAATAAACTGCCTACCTTCCTGGAGTTTGTTTTCACATGTAGGAGACAGACGGTAAACAATGGGAGGAACTGAGAGCAGGTGATGGTGAGGTAATGATTAAAACTACAGACAACAGTCAAGCAAAAATCTCCTTAGGGGGACGTTGGTTGGGAAGGAAGCCCTCTGTGGAGATGGCGTTGCATCTGATGACGAAATAGGAAGAGGTAGTGAGTAGTCGTGGAAAACGTACCCCAAGAAGATGGAGCAGGAAGAGGAAGGACCCCCCTGGTCCTGAGACTATAAGCCTGCTGGGAGCTCTGTGAGAAAGAGTGGATGACGGTGACCACCTGGAGACAGATGGGGACCAGACCCTGTAGGCCCACTGCAAGGGTTTAATTTTAAGTACTCTGGGAAGTCCCATGACAGGGTACCAAATATAGAGTGTCTTAGTTAGGGTTTCTATTGCTGTGAAGAGATACCATGACCATGACAACTCTTCTAAAGGGAAACATTTAGTTGGGGCTGGCTCACAGTTTCAGGGGCTTAGATCATTATTGTCATTGTGGGAAGCATGGCTGCATGCAGGGTGACATGGTGCTGGAGAAGGAACTGAGAGTTCTACATCTTGATCCAAAGGCAGCAGCCAAAGGACTGATACACACTTCCTCCAGCAAGGCTACACTTTCTCCCACAAGGCCACACCTCCTAATAGGGGCCGTATTTATTCAAAGTACCACATAGAGTGACACAAATTTTAAGTGTGTGTATGTGGGGAGTGCCTCGGGAGCCAAGAAATGGCGTTAGGTTCCCTAGATCTGGAGTTACAGGTGGTTGTGAGTCACCTGGTGTGGGTGATGGGCACTGAATTTGGATCCTCTACAAGAACAGCTAGCACTGTTGACCACTGAGCCAGCTCTCTAGCCCCTGAGAGGGTGATGGTGGTGGTTGTAGTGGTGGCGGTGGTGGCAGTGACTTTTACCCGCATCTGTGGATATGTTGGCCAGGGGGTTGGTTGTTCTGACCTGGAGGATGGAGGGAGGATGGAGACGGGGAAAAGGCACAGACCTCAGCAACATTTGCAGATCCTGAAGAGGAAAGAATCCAGACAGAAACACCCTGAGGGTAAGGAGAACTGAGTCAAGAGAGATGAGGGGACCAGTGACTGGAGAGGGGCGCTGGGTAAACCAGAGAATTTAGCAGCATGGGGATCCCACAAAATAGTCTCAAAATTTAGGGAGCATGTTAAGGATGCAAGCGCTTGAGTAAGGGAGATGCTTAGCAATGAAGAGCACCTGTTGCTCTTTCAGAGGGCTTGGCTTTGGTTCCAGGCACCACATGGTGGCTCCCAAAATCCGGAACTCCAGATCCCAAGTTCCCAAGGATCTGATGCTCTCTTCTGTCCTTTCTGGGTGCCAAGCACACACGTGGTGCACGTGCACATATACAGGGAAACATTTGTACACATAAAATGTGTAAATAAATTTAAAGAAAGACAAAGAAAATAGTACAAGTTCAAAATAGGTATGGTAGAGTGTGTAGCTCAACCCTGGGGAGACAATGGAAGGAAGATCACCTGATCCCGGGAACTGGGGACCAGTCTGGGTAACAGACTTAAGCAAAACTAATGCAAATTCTGTTCCCCAAACCTAGAGCCTTAGACACAGTAAGTCTAGCCGGAGACCGCAGCTTTGATTAAGTGGCCCAAATTTGAGAAAAGCTGTGCATAAGGACTCTAAAGTTGCTTTCAGCCTCATTTAAAGAAGTGAGGGGGGTCCTCTTTATCTTTTAATGTGGTGAGATAAGAGGAAGCCTCATTATCTGTTGGCACAGTCTTTAAGCCCTGGAATTCGGAATGGAAATTTATTTCACCCCTTAGATGAGTCTTAAAAGAAAAGTCCTGTCTCTTCCCTGTGAATCCTATGTTTTTGTTTTTTTTTTTTTTGCTTTAAAGTAAAGTGTTAAGTTTTGAAGGCCACATGTTTGTGTAACAGGGAGAAATCAATGTCACATCGGTGACATGTAAGACAGGAGGCACACTCCTACATTTTACAGTGATGTGGAGATTGTGTTACAAAGCAGGATGAGTGGTCTCCTTATACAGAACATTCAGTAAGGACCTAATGAGGAAGCTAAGAGAAATGCCTCTCCAGCACATACACCAGGGTTGATGAGGGTGCTCATGAGGACAGAGGCAGAACTGGTTGTTGCTGGCCTGACTTGTTCTGCAACCAAACATCCACTCCTCAAAAAACAGCAAGTTGGGTAAAGTGTTCACAACCTAGGTTTCCACTTCTTTGGGAAAAGATGTGATATATAGATGGTTGCTTTGAACTCTCAATTAGTATTTGGTCAGGGTGTCTCTCTGCCGCCCAAGTGCTGGGATTAAAGGTGTGTGTCACCACATCTGGCAGGACTGTCAGTGTGATACAACTTAGAATCACATGGGAAGAGACATTTAATGAGGGATTGTCTACATGAAGTGGGCCTGTGGACATGTGTCTTAGGTACTTTCTTGTTGTTGCAATAATACACCATGTCCAAGGCAACTTATAGAAGACAGAGCTGGAGGCTCACAGATCCATAATCCACGACCATCATGGCAGGCAGCAGGGGAGCAGGCAGGCGGGCGTGGTGCTGGAGCAGTAGCTGAGAGCTCACATTCTGAGATACAACCACAGCAGAGAAGGAGACTCACAATGGCGCAAGCCTTTCAAAACTTCAAAACTCATCCTCCCTCCAACACTTCAAAGCCACACCTCCAAATCCTTCCCAAACAGTTCCACCAATCTGGAATCAAGTATTCCAACATGAGCTGATGGGGGTCACTGCCATTCAAACCACCACAATGTGCCTCTGGGAGATTGTCTTAGCTGATGACTGACAAGGAAAGATCCTCCCATTGTGAGCAGCACCATCAAACTATGCAAGAGAGGGGAAAGCAAGCAAGCAAGCAAGCAAGCATCCATGTGCTTATTCTCTTTGCTCTTGACTGGATGTGATGTGATTAGTTGCTTGAGTTACCACCTTGAATTCCCTGAAATGATGGACTGTAGCCTGGAACTGAGCCAAACAACCTCTTTATTCTCAAAGTTGTTTTAGGAAGTCAGGGTATTTTTTTTTATCACAACAGAAACAAAACCAGGACAATAGGAAAACAGCTGACTGAGTCCAGAAGTAACCTTGAGGCATGTCAGTGAGTTAAAGGAGACACCTAGATGTGAACTCATTGCACTGCCTCTATTATTCCTGCCTGCAGTTTATCAAACATACAAAGGATAAATCTACCATATTCTCTCATTCCTAATCCATATAGGGGGAAATAAAAATCAGAAAACATACCATGTAACAAGTGTCTTCATTTTTTTTGGCAGAATAGGAAGGGGAAATTGTGGTATCTAAAAGAAAGCAACATTTTTTTTCGAGAATTGCTGTACACTATAATTTTCTAGATTATTCCCTGAGTATCATGAATAATGTAGTATTAGCAAGGTATATTATCTTTTGTGACAATTAATCATATTCATCTTCTTTAAGCCCCCTTTGGAACCAGGAACTGTTTTGTATGAAGCTGAGCTCTCACAGTTTGCGGAAGACATCAGGAAGTGGAAGGACAGATACATTGTGGTTAAAAATGATTTTGCTGTGGAAAGTTATGAGAACAAAGAGGTAAGATACGCCCATGTTACCATCAGTTCTTGCTATTGTCTTAAAACTTTGTCTGTGTTAATTGATATGCCCTGACCATGGCAATTGGTTGATTGGGTACTCATCTCAATGAATAGGAATATGTTGAGTATCTGCTGTATGCTAAGTGCTTTATACGGATCTGAATGGATAGCAGTTAATCAGACCCATGCTTGCAGTCTAGGAAAAAGATAGTCTTGGGTGGCAGATGAGTGTGGGAATAGGTTTGCTAAGAGGCCTGTGTTTGGTGTAGGATCCTTTTCAGGGATCATTCGTTCAGCCTCAGAGTTCTTCTCAGTCACTAGCTTGTTGCTGCTCCCTCTGCTCAGTCTCAGCATCGTTCCACCTTAAGCATCACATCTGACACACGACTGAGGAGTGAGTTATTCAGTGAGGAAGTGCCTGCATTGCAGGGGTTTCTACAAACGTAGCATGCCCTGAATACTTCATTCCATTAGAAGTAGGGGTTTTCATCCAGTTAGACTTTTCTCTCATTATTTGCCTTGTCTGGACAAAGAGAGAAAGGAGATCAGGTGTGTAAAGCATCTAGACCCGGAGGACTTCAGATTTTAAAGTTTCCGCTTTCCTCCTTCATAGAGGGGCTGTGTGAAGCTAGAGCAGTGAGCAGTGAATTTGGAAATCCACAGTTTAGGTCAAGTTGTGTCACAGGCTAGAAGTAAACTATGGACATGAGACTTACTTTGCCTCCCAGCCTCAGATGAACTGAGGAGTGAGCTCAGATGATCCCAGCAGATCCTTTGAAACCTCACACTGCACACATTTCTTATCCAGGCTCAGTCTCAGGTGCCCTTGGAAATACTCCCCTATATTAGGATTTTATTCAACCCACAGCCCCAATTGTCAGCACACTACAAACAACAGTAACAAATTATCAAAGGCTTTTCATAAACATCCTACTAAAATCAGAGCTTTCTCTCCTACCCACCAGTTCCTAAATAATAGAGACTTAATATTATTTGGAAATGTTTGGATGATGGCTCAGGCTTATTATCAGCTAGCTCTTACATTTAAATTAATCCATTTTTACCAATCTAAATATTGCCATGCGGCTATGGCATTACTGGTTGTGCTCTGGCTTGTTGCTTCTTGGGTGACTGTTGGCATCCTTCAGACTCCACCTTTCTCCTGTATCTCTGCTTGGATTTCCCACCTTGTTCTATCCTGCCTTGCCATAGGCCAAAGGAGCTTTATTTATCAACCAGTGAGAGAAACACATATTCATAGCATACAGAAAGACATCCCATATCATCCTACAATGTCCTCTTAGAGGACTGGAGTGAGGTACAGTATCCCAATGAGTAGTTAACATTATGGGCTTTGAATTACATCTTTGACAGTTACCAGATACATGCCTTTAGCTAAGTTAGGTATCTCTTTTAGACTCAGCTTTCTTTTCTCAGAATGGCAATTTCTTAGAATGAAACAAACAAATACATTGATGCACTGAGCATATGGCCAGCCCAGGATTTAGTCCTGAACAGAACAATTGTTGATATGATTGCCTCTAACTAATTGAGAAAGCTTGTTATTAGATTTATTGAGTTTTTCACCCACATTTAACAGTAAATGAAATTTCTTTATGAATTAAATTTTGGTGATCTTTCTTTTTTCACATTTAAAGATGGTCTTTCTCAATTTGAAACTTATTCTTTCTTTTCTTTGCTCATTATTTTCAAGGAATTTGTTTAGGTTATAAAAACGTGATTAGTAAATCCACTAATGATTAAATAGTTCTAGAAACCACCTGGGTATTTAAATGAAAAGTCCATGTAGTTTGTGGTCATTGTTGGACACTATAACAAGATCTTGTTTGTTAATTTATAGAAGTATTTCTTAAAATCACATGTAAGAGTTAAATGTTAACTAGGGACTGGAGAGATGGCTCAGTGGTTAGGAGCACCAGCTGCTCTTACAGAGGACCTGGGTTCAGTTCCCAGCACCCACATGGCATCTCACAACTGTCTGTAACTTCAGTTCCAGGGGAACTGAACTGAGGGTGTCAGCACCCTCACACAGACATGTGTGATGCAAGCAAAACATTAGTGAACATAAAGTTAATATAAATCATTTGAAAGAGTTAGACATCAACTATTCACTAATGTCTTGTTACTTTGTTGAGAGTCCAGTTTGGTGGTGAGCACAGGGACATCAGAGAGTTCTCATTTCATAATTCATCAAAATTTCCCTCACATTTGCTGGGGACTTGATAAATGAGTCCATAATCTGTCAGTCACCACTGGGTCATTGCACATTATTGGACCTCTGTGAGTTTTAGTTTTCTCATTTGTAAATGGAGATAATATCTAATTCTTAACGCCGCCTTGAGGGTCAAATGATGTAATGTTCTTAGTCATCTGCCCTCAGATATAACTGGTTTGTTTTTTTTTTTTTGCAGTTTAGAAGCTTTTTATAACCCCAAACAAATTCCATAGTTAAACCCTGTTTGAATCAGTTGCTTCACACTATCTCAAAACCATACAGAGAGAGATTCTTCTGCTATGCTCTGGGTCCCCAGTGTGTTTAAGCAGCTAATTAGTGTTTCTTCCAAGTCTTAAAACAAGTTTCGTAGGGCTCTGAGTGTTTGTTTCGCTTGGGGCTCTCCAGGCACCGTCTTGCAGATGCAGAATGTGTTATTGTTATTTTGAGTTTATTGTTATTGTTGTCCAGATCAATGTTATTTTAGTTATTCCCAAGGGCGCCCTTTAGATTTTCGAGACCCACAGCTTCTTGGTTTCAATTCTCAACTAGCTCCTAAGTTACTGCTTTCAATAATTTGTCTTGACAACCAGCCTGTCAATCAGATGCCCACACTAGTGTTTTATCTCATCTGTTTGTCCCTGGGGCACGTTGGCCTAGGCACTAATCAGGGTGCCGGATCTCATTTGGGTTCCTCCGACAGCAGAATGTCTTATCTGCCGGTCAGAATATCTTCTGATGTCATAAAGCTGCACTTTCATCTCAGCCACTTCACGGCAAAAAAATCCAGTCATTTCTGGGGGCAAATGACTGCACGTTTATTATGGCAACATCTTTGTATTTTTGGTGAAGCTCCATGGTAACTATCAGTGTAGTTAACTTGTTCCACAGTGTCATTCAGCATCTAATGTGGCCCACGTCAGCTGTGTGTGTGTATGTGTGTGTGTGTGTGTGTGTGAGAGAGAGAGAGAGAGAGACAGAGACAGAGACAGAGACAGAGACAGAGAGAGAGAGAGACAACCTGTGGTTATCAGAATGAGTCAGAGCCATCAGCGTCTGAAGTGGTGAACATCATACAGGCATAGTAGTTACAGATACTCCGTTTTTTCCATTTAAGAACACACCTCCTGGGAGTCTCTTTGAGATTAGGGAATCTGGTTTACCATTCTGGGAGTGACCATCAAACAGAAGTAAAGGAATGCTACCGTGTAAGCAACAAGAATGCAAACCAAAAAAATTTTAATAAGTGACCCCAAATGACATAGTGTAGGGATGTCTGTCACTGGATATATGTGTCTGGACTTGTTTGATTTCTTAATTTCTGACATTTTAAAAATATATATACTGGAGAAATCATTCATTCATGTCTTTCCTGTTTAGGCCTATCAGAGAGGAGCTGTTCCTAAAAGCCGAATTCTTCCAGCTGGAGGCAAAGTTTTAACCTCAGAAGAGGAATATAATCTTCTATCTGACAAGCATTTTCCAGACCCCATTGGTGAGTTGCTCTGACTTTCCCTGAACTAACTTTATGTAACTGGATCAGTGGTCCTTAATAAGGGAGAATAGTCCCCTTTCAGGGACATTTGTCAGTCTCCAGAGTCCTAGGAGGAGAGTGACACAGACATTCAGACCAGCGATGCTGTTCAACAACCCATAATGCACAGGGCAACCCTGAAGAGACAGATGAGTGGCCCAAGGTACCAGTAGAGCCAAGGTGGAGAAACCTGTGTTGAATCCCGACACTCCATCTGCAGCTAGAAAGTGGAGTTTGTTTACTCTGGGTCGACATTATCCCATTTCTATGACGTCACAAGGGCAGTTTCTATGTTGCTGACAGTCAGGTATCTTAGAACTAGGGATGCGCTGTAGAATTTGGTAACAACACTCGAGACGGCAGAAACACACAGGTCAGGCATCCGGTGTGACACGCACAATTTCATTTTTCAGTAAGCAAGTCTTGACCTGTCAGGGAGTATTATCTCATTTTACAGAAGCCGACAAAAGTAAGACCATTTTAAATAAACCCCACAGGAACTCATAGCTACAGAGTAAAAGAAAGCACCGCCTTTGTTCACCGTCTGTAAGTAATGCCGAGCTCTGCTGTAGATGGAGCGCTGGCCTGAGACCTGGGGGCGTGGATTTGGATGTGGCTCCCACTGTGCCTCTTAGCAAACGTTTTCAGGGTAGCAGGCCCTGGGCACCTCTGGCTTCTGTTTCTTCTGCTTTAAAATGGAGCTTTAAACTTGAAATTTTTAGAAGAATCTTTCCAGCTTTAAAATTCTTTGATTCTCATCCATTTCACTTATTTTTAATGTAGAGAAAATGATGGATACTATATAGGCTAAATAGGGTATTTCATAGGAATTCATGAACTGTGCATAATAGAATAACTCCATCTGCCTTTGTGTAAATCACAGCACACGTTCATTACTTGCTTTCTTGGAGAGAGCCCTGGCTCTTATTAATGGGTATCATCATTTCATTAGAATTTATGGAGAACTATATAATCATTCCATCAGTTGTTATTTGCTGTGGATTGCTTAGTGTGGTGTTTTTAATAACACAATTATAGATAGTACACGGACCATAAAACTAGATTATCAAATTATTACTAAATAATTCAGGCTAAAGCAATGCTTTATGTATTCACTACCTAGAAAATATATGAAATTTTTTCCAGCGTCTACCTATCTGCCACATTGGCTATGTGCCAGCCACTAAAAGTGAGAACAGCAGCATGTTGATTCTTGAGACTCTCTCCAGAACTTTCCAGCGTAATCTGTCAGAACAATACACTTATGAATTTATTGATGAACTCATATCGGAAGGAATGAAAAGCATAAAGCCTATGTGACTCATGCCTAGATAGCCCAAGGCTTCAGACACAGCTTTTCAATGACTATTTCTGTTGTATGGGGTGGCCTGCTGAATTCTAAAAGTAGAATATGCTTCAATAGATCATTTGTGATACTCTTGTAACTCAACCCAGAAAAATGAATTGTAGATGGATGGAATCTAGAAAATTGTTATGGAAGGTTTAGCTAAAGGTAACTAGGGGTTAATAGCAACGGATTTTATAGGGTTTGCTGAAGCTTCTGATATAGAGAGTCAGTGTTACTTTATGTCATTTGTATGAAATTGTGACATCTTGGAAAGGGCACGAAGACTTACCTTCATAAACCTTGTAAATCAGATATACCCCATTCGGGTAGAATGTTACTTCTACCCGAAAGAACAGATTTAAGCACGTTTAAAAAGGGAGGTTCCAGCGTTGCTGGAGGAGAGGCACTGGAGGCTAATGGGTAAATGTATGTTCTCCGTGGAATGTTCTGCCAGGGTGGCCTTTCAGAGTGTCCCCATGCTTTACTACAGTGATCGATCTCTTGGCATTTTATTAGTTAGGATCTGGTTTACTGTACACAATGAAATTCAAGTTAAGTATGCAAGGTTTGTTATCTTCACGTAAGTATTGGCGTGCCGCTCCAGGGTCAGTGTGGCAGATCCACAGATTTGTCAAGGACACAGGCTCTTCTGGCTTTCTCCCCCTTTAAGTCTGGGCACACTTGTTATTCTAACAGCAGCAGGAATACTGGTGCTATGGCTCCTTCCATGTCGCATGAAGGAGAAAGGGGAGGAAGAGGAGGATGCGGTAACTTTCTTTAAGGATGCTTGCAGGGGGTTGATATGGCAGTTCAGATTTTTTCCCATTGACCAGAACTTAGGAGCAGTGGGCTACCCTATTACAAGGGAAGCTGGAAATGTATGTGAAGTTGCATTCTCCAAAGTTTCTTGCTCAGTTAAAAGATGAAGCTCACAACTGCAAGGAAGGGGGTGTCTCTTTCGCGTGTGACTGTTCATGTGTTTGTGTGTACTGATTCCTTCTTCTGTTCTGGGTGTTGTGCTGGGCACCAATGGGCTACCTTGTGTTCCCAACCATTCTGTCCCTAGCCTTCAGATTTCAGGACAGTGGAACCAGGTTCCTGTATTGTCTTAATCAAATCTCTTCTTACCTTGGATTACGAATTTCCCAGTAGCTGACTTAGTTATGTAAGCTTTCCTTATGGCTCTGATCCATTTCTAGGTATGCCCAGCATGCTCCGCCTCTTCGAGGGTGCCCCCTTTTCCTTCCTTTCCTAGAGATCTGTGGTCCCAGAACACGCTGTACCTTCTGTGTGTTCCCATGCTGTAGAAAGAAGTGGACTCTTTAAACCAAGTGTGATGTCATGTGATAGGGATGCAGGGGTTAGGCTGGCTAGGGTTTCTGAAGAGAGGCATAGTTTCCCATGAGGTTCTCAGAATTGATTGTGAAGGGATAGGCCTCTCTCTGTCTCTGCAGTCTCTGTCCCCCACCCCCCCCCCCGGTGTGTGTGTGTGTGTGTGTGTGTGTGTGTGTGTGTGTGTTGATAGACTTGAACCCAGATACTGGACAACTGCTTTATCACTGAACTAGACCTGTAGCCCCCTAGTCTTGTCTTTTCAGGGCCTCTAAATTTTTTTTAAGATCAACAGAGCATATCTGTTTACTCAATATGATGAAGTTGAATATCTTGTAGGTTCTATAACTCTGCTATGGGCAGAGCTATGTCAGTAGTGGCCTCTACCCTCTCGGAATCACTCTTCAGAGAGGGGTTCTCCTGGGAATTCAAGAGCAGAGCTCATCTGCTCACCCTTCCTCCCCAGTGGGTGCCAGGCACGGAAACCGGCCTGTCTAGGTGGCAGGTGCCAGTGGAGGCTCCCCAGAGGAAGTGACATGTGAACCACCCTGTGAAGGGTGAAATGATTTTTCTCTAAAAGAGCATGATGGTAAAGAAGGAAGGATATGGGGAAAATGTTTAGTTTTGGAACAGATGGACACCCTTTGGCAGGGTAAAGATCAAAAGTAGAGGGGCCCCAGACATGCACCTGGACAAGTGCCAACGCTTGACGGGGGCTAGAGGGGTGGCAGACGAAGCCGTAGGTGCAAAACATGTCACTTTTTGGAAAAAGATAGATATGCTGAGAGCCAGGAGAGAGGCACTCACAACTAGGAAGGGAATGTTGTCTAAAGAGTGGGCTGCTGTCAGCAACACAAGTCACAGACCAGAGTAGATAAGCCATGGGCTGGTGGCTGGGGTGGCATTAGTGACTCCAGCCATTGAGTTGAGGAGCTGATGCGGCAGGAGGCAGACTGACGTGAGAATAGGACTAGACTGCAGTGAGCAAGGGTTCGCCACAGAGGGGAAGGAACCTGGGGAAACCGAAGCCTGCAAGGAGCGGGTCAGCAGAGGTGCCTGAGAAGGGAGCTCCGCCTGTGGTCTTTGGAGATGCCATCAACAGAAGGGAACTGAGGAAGATGTGTTGGTTGTCTGTCTGTCTCTGCTGAGGAGTCGACCATACCTGTGGGGAAGACAGGCTAGGCGGGCAGTAGGGATGGAGAGGAGATGAGCCCCTGCTTCCCTACCACCTTGCTAGCCTGTGGCTGCCCCAGATACTTTTACAGACTGAGATAAATGTTTACAGACTGAAACACATACTCATGTTTTAAAACTGTCTCCACTTCCGTTGCTTCTCCAGCCTCCAGTGAGAAGAACTCGCAGCCCTTTGTCGTCCTGCCCAAGGCCTTCCCGGTGTACCTGTGGCAGCCTTACCTCAGGCATGGCTACTTCTGTTTCCATGAGGCCACCGAGCAGCAGAAGTTCAGCGCGCTTCTCAATGACTGCATCAGACACCTGAATCACGGTAGGCTCAACCGGCGCTTCCCTCACGGCCACATTTCCTGAACTACCTGGGTCAGCCATCTGCGACCATAATTCTTAGAGCCTCAGAGAGTGTTGCCCTCGCGAAGGAAAATGGGGTAGGGGAATGGGGGTGGGTGGGGGTGGGGGTGGTGTTTATGGGCAGTGAGCATTGAAAACAAAGAGCCTGAGTCTGAAGTCTCCGTGGAACAGAGCGTAGAGCGTGTTGGCTGGTGCAGGCCACCTGTTCTAGACTGTCTCCTGGTTATTCACCGTCCTGGCCATACGTTAATTGTATAATTCTATTCTTCCTACTCCTTTTCCCTGGCATTTTTATGTTGTTTGTTCATTTTCGGGGATTGTTTGGTTTTGAATACAGGGTCTTGCTTTATAATACTAGCTGTTCAAATACTCACTATGTAGCCCAGTCTTGAACTCGCCGTAAACCTCCTGCATCAGTCTCTTGAGCACTGGGATTATGAGTGTGTACCACCATGCCCAGCTTTCCTTGTTTTATTTAATTACACGCCAGCAAGAGTGTTCCAGTTAACCCTGGTAAAGCTTTAGTCCCTATGTCATTTTTCATTACTTTCCTCGTTTATTTCTGTGTAATGTTTGCTCGGTTAAGATCAGTGGCGTGGTTCGTTGTAGTCTAAGACTTGTTTTTCAATTAGCGTTCCTGTTGGTTAGCTTCCTGTCGCTGTCGCAGATGAAGCTAATGTTGTTTGCTCTCATTGGTTGCTCTCTGTGGTTCATCGGTCCTGTTGCTCTGGCCTGTAATGAGGCTGCACATTTCGGCAAGAGGGAAGCAGAAGAGAGGAGGGGGCTGGGGTCCCATGACCTGCTGAAGGTCCTCAGTCATCCTCAGGACCTCCCGCCATTGCTGCCCTTGATGCTACCACAAGCACACAGCTGGGGACCAAGTCTTTAACCCACAGCCCTTAGGAGGACTTACCCAAACCACAGAGGCAGTTCTTAAAACTTGAAGGGATGTAAGAATTGGGGGAAGAATCTGATTCAAGGCCAGAGAGACAGCTTGGTGGTTAATGAGTGTTTGCTACTCTCCCAAAGGACTAGAGGTCAGTCCCTAGCACCCACTTTGGGGAGCTGGCAACTGCCTGTAACTCCACCTCCAGGGAGATCTGATGCCCTTGTCTGACCTCTGTGGACACCTGCACACGTGTGCACATACTTTAACACAGACACACATACATGATTTAAAAGCAAATACATCTTAAAACTTAAGTAAAACACAGGAGCTGCGACTCTACCCATATGCAGTCTGATTCAGTGTGATTGGTGGGAGGCAGATTTTGCTTTTCTAACAAGCTCCCAAGTGATGTCACTGACCACACTCAAAGTGGCACAGCTTTTAAAGATAACATCATTTTGATTTTTGGCATAGATTTACTTACTAATCCATCTGTAAATAAAATTTTTTATAGGATTTTTCATTCCAGTGTGTCATTTCTGACTTTTTTTGTATGAATGCAGGGTTGTCAGGGCTTGCAGATAACTAAACTGTGTTCTTTGGCAGTTAGAAAGGCAGACAGTCAAATGTTACAGAGGGACTTAGTCTGTGCCAACCCTGTACAAGCGTAGAGCCATAAAGCATTTTCTCTCTTTGGTAGTCTGGGTGCAAACAGGATGGGGAAGAAGCACACCCACAAATTCTGATTTGATAGCGAGCAAAGTTGATATGTTCAGGAGTAACTGGAAGTCACTACCAAATGAGCAAGTATGGCCAGATGATCCCAACCCTGAGGTAACTTACAGATCTTCCAGATCACGATAGTGCAAACGTGGTACCCATCAGTGCTGGCTGTGTGCAGTGTGAGCCCTGATGCTGACATAGTGCAAACGTGGTACCCATCAGTGCTGGCTGTGTGCAGTATGATGCTCTCCCCTGATGCTGACATAGTGCAAACGTGGTACCCATCAGTGCTGGCTGTGTGCAGTGTAATGCTCTCCCCTGATGCTGACATAGTGCAAACATGGTACCCATCATGGCTGGCTGTGTGCAGTGTGATGCTCTCCCTGATGCTGACATAGTGAAAACGTGGTACCCATCAGGGCTGGCTGTGTGCAGTGTGATGCTCTCCCCTGATGCTGACATAGTACAAACGTGGTACCCATCAGTACTGGCTTGTGTGCAGTGTGATGCTCTCCCCGATGCTGACATAGTGCAAACGTGGTACCCATCAGTACTGGCTGTGTGCAGTGTAAGCCCTGATGCTGACATAGTGCAAACGTGGTACCCATCAGGGCTGGCTGTGTGCAGTGTGATGCTCTCCCCGTTGCTGACATAGTGCAAACGTGGTACCCATCAGGCTTGGCTGTGTGCAGTGTAAGCCCTGATGCTGACGGGTTCTCTCTCCACTGGGTCACCAGAGCACTTTGGATGTTGTGTTTTGTGGTTTCACAGTCCAACAGTCGACAAAACACTCACCAGTCATTGTACGGGAGGAATTTAACACTTCGTTGTAAAATAGGCTTTGCAGTTGATGGTTTTACTCAGTGGTAGGCTTAGGTGAGTATTTGAGCTTGTCTAAGGCAGGCTAGGCTAAGCTGGGATGTCGGCCAGGTGCATCAGCTGCACTTTCAACTTACGATGGTTGTGTCGAGTCGCAATGCTACCCCATTGTAAGATACAAGCACCTCTGTACGTGGAATTCTCAGTAAGCACTTTGTCAAGTCACGAGCAATACCTCCAGCTGTGTACAGAATTTAAGGTTTGTTTTGTCGGGGAGGTCTCTGAACAGAAGAGGTTTGAGCTGAGTCATAGTAAAAAATATCCCCACACACAACATACTGTAGCTAATTTTATGGTGCACTTACTTTCATGTTTGGAGGTTTCCCCTTGATTATCAGTTCCACAGAGTGATGGTCACTGGTGCTACATCTCACATCTCAGCCAGTTCTTGGTTTGTATGAATGTATTATGTATGTATGTATGATGGATGAATGGCGTATGTGTGTCCAAGTATGTGCACGTGTCATGGCATGCATGTGGAGACCAGCTGATAACTTTTGGGAGTTCATTCTTTTATGTTACCACATGGGTTCTGAGGACCAAACTCATTTTATCAATCTTGGCAGCAAGTGCCCTTACCTCCTGAGCCTTCTTGCCAGTTCCCACCTCTTGGTTTTAATGTGTGTGTCGATAGAGACTTAAAAAAAAAAAGTAACTCTATTTTGCTACAGCAACTCCAAGTAACATAATATTGACTCTTAACTAGAGCCTTTATAAAAAAAAAATGATCCCCTTATTACTGTCATGCCTGTGTCTTCCCAGAACTAGCTTAGTTTTCAATTTGCTTAGAACCTCTGTGTTTTGGGTCTTGGTCTAGTAGGAACACAGCTGGCACTGCACCCAGGAAGTACAAAGTTGCACTGAACAGAGAATGTGTTCTGCCCAGGCGAGGGACTTGCTGCATTCCCCATTCCTTGTACATAATAGGAATTTCTCTGGGGAGTTTTGGATGGTGTGTAGCCTGCATTTAGACACCATTTATGGAAGATCTCAGTCAATTCAGAACCCGGCTCTGCTCTCTAGGATGTTGTCAAGGCACGAAGACAATGAAGTCTAGTTATATTTTCCTGGTCTGTGACATATTCTTCAAACCAAAGACCGTTTGTTCCCCCACTGAGCCTTTATGCAGACAGTTGGGCATAGGCCATTAGAGCATTACAGAGAGCAGTCCTTGGTTGTTGCAGGCCCATGAGCTCATGGGGGTTTTCCCATCTTGCCCCACCCCCTGATTTTTTTCCCCTTGTGTTCGATGGTACAATGTACCACTGTTTTTACTGAATCACTTTCCTGTCCCAAGTATCTACCTATTATTCATTGTGTGATCTTGAATAAGCCATTAAGGGCTTCCTCAAGCTGCCAGTTCACTGTACTTGCTAGAGTTGTTCAGAAAGGGCAATAAGAGTCTGGCTGTAACTAGGACCAGAGGCTCGAGGGGGCTGCTGCCACTGTTGTCTGCTGCCACAAGCAAGCAAAGGACTCAGTCTGCTGTCATCATTGTTCCATTGGTTCAAAGGTCACTGTACATTTCTGTTGAGAACTGGATCCTAGATGTTTGAGTACTTGAAAGTACTTGAAATTAGCCTCTGTCAATCCATAAAGACTTCTACAATTTTTATTTTATTTTATTTTTTGAGATAGGGTTTCTATGTGTAGCCCTGACTGTCCTGGAACTTTCTGTGTAGACCAGGCTGGCCTCAAACTCAGAAATCCGCCTGCCTCTGCCTCCCGGCTCCTGGGATTAAAGGCGTGTGGCACCGCTGGCCAGCCCACTTGGACTTCCTAAGACACTTCCCAGTGCTCAGGTCAGCAATAACCCAGCCCACGTGTTCAAAAAACGTTGGCTCCTAATTGTTCTAGGTATTCATAACCATTCTGAATCCAGAAACACTGCTGTTGGACTTAAGAGGAATATGTATTTCTTTTTTAACCTTGACAAAGGTCCTACCTCTTTTAATGGTTGTCTGAAGATAGAGGAGGACAAGTGGAGAGATCTGTGGTCCTTCGTCCTTCAGAGAGAGGGCAGCTGCTAAGACTGTTCTCACCAAGGAGCTCCTACTGTACTGGGCAGTGGACATATGTCTGGTTTGTTACTGTTCCTCTTTTTTGAGTAGATAGAAGATCTCACAAGATTAATCCTTCTAGAACATCACATTCCGTCTCGATTTTAATGCATGACATCTGTGTACAGCAGCTGCCGCCACCTGTCCATTTAGAATTCAGTGTAGTTCCCAGTCCCTGGCCATGTCGGGTGCTGCAAAGCGGGACTTATAGTGCCAAGATGTTCTGAGACAGCTTTCTTCTCCACACTCAGTCCTGTGCTTCACAAATACAGAGCTGAACCCAGGTTGAGTGGACAATGGTCATTATCAGTGCGCACCTGCTTCTCCGGCTCAGGCGATGTAGGGCAGGGGGAAGGGGTCCCTGCAGGGAGGAACAGGATAATTGAGAGCTGGAGAGCAACACAGATTATG